GGGTCGCAGCTGCCTCTGGAAGGCACCGAGATGTACCTTTTTGCGCAAATGGTCAAATCAAGGTTTTGTAACGCGAGCTGCACACCGTGAAAGGAACTAGCCATGTTGTAATTTACTCGCGTCGGACACGTCGCCTCTCTGTCTGTGGTCCTCTCTACTGGTTCCTCTACTATGGAGGTACTTTCTGAGCCCTGGTCTGACAGCCTGACAGCAAACCCCGGACACAGCGCCTGACATTGCCCGACAGCACAAGGTACTCGAGTAGGCGACAGCCTGACAGCGGACAGCGCACTTTCTCCGTACTCCGACAGCCTGACACGGCACGTATCTGACAGCCTGACAGCAGAGTCTGACTAGCGAGGTGATCCGTCGCTGTCAGGCCCTAACGTGACAGCCTGACAGCTGCCTGACAGCCCGACAGCACACAATCGAATGGCCTCGTGACAGCGGCGCTGACAGCCCGACAGCAGCACAGACCGTACACAGACCGTACAGCCTCTTCTTGTGCCCCATGAGGGTATCATTCTCGAAGAGTTTGGCGTCGCTTCGTATGATTGCACGGGAACGGCTGGCCCCACTCATGTCGGACGGTAACCACTTCACGTACTTTCACACCAGCGGTGTGCGCGTGCAAGGGGGGCGCCGCATGTGCTTAACCTCGCGGCGCAGCTACTGCTGCGGACCGCGGCGGACCGCGAGGCTGACGGGAAGGGCGTCCGGTATTGCAGGGAGGACGACTGTCATCGAAAATGGCGCCGTGAGACCCGTGTTTGGTGTTACGTAAGGTAAATGGCGGCATGTACACCTCCCGAGCGTGGGTTATGGCCGTGGGTTAGGGGAAGGTGTCCTCGACCTGGTCGGTGCCGACGCCAGCGACAAAGCCGCCGACAACGCCGTCCGGGTCGAACGTGCGGGTGACAGAGTCGGCCAGCGCCGCCCGCACCTCCGAGTGGTCGGCCGCGATGGAGTCCGACTTCTCGGCGAAGGGGTCGTGCGGGAGGGTGCGGCCGGGGTACTTGGCGCACACCTTCTTGTACGAGGACTGGGCCATGCGCACCTTCAACGCGGGGTCGAGGTGGTCGGGGAGCTCCTCGAGCACCTTGGCGACAGGGACCCCCTTGCAGATGAGGTCGCCCGCGCACTTGCCACCGTGCAACCCACCGCAGTGGGGGCACGGCTTGCGCCCACCGGCTGCGCGGCCGCCGCGGTCCCCGCCGCCCTTGTCGGACTTGATCTGCGCCTGGAGGGCGGCGACCTGGGACTTGGCGGCCGCGAGCTCCTCCTTGAGCGAGCCTTGCGAGGCAATGTCCGCCTCGAACGCCGCCTGCGCAGCCGCCTTGGCCTCGTTGGCGCGGTCCGCGTTGTCTTGGTCGAGGATGCCGTGCATCGCGAGCGTGGACGCCTTGAGGCCGTACGTCTTGTTCGAGTGCTCGGCGAGTTGGCGCTGCACGTCGATCTGCACGCGCATGTTTGCGCCGAGCGTGGCCCCCTTGGCGCCGATCGCGTCGAGGATGTGTTCCTCGATCACCGTGTCGGGGAGGTGCCACTGGGAGTCCTTGAGCAACTTGTTCGCCTGCTCGATGCCGGTCTTGAACTTGGCGAGGCTCGCGGACGTGAGGTCCTTGAGAGCGTCGGGGGAGATCGCCTTGTCGAGATCCGCGCGCAGCGCCTTCGTGCGCACGTTCTTGGAGTTCGGGTCCTCCGACTCGATGAGCGACTTGATCGCCGCGATGCCCTTCTTGATGTCGTCGTAGTGGTCGGCGTCCTCGTCCTGTGAAGGTCTTCAGTGACCACTCACAAGCTGTATCCAAAGTACTGACAGAAATAGACTGCCAAAACTTACAAACAAGAGTCCTGTCCCGCGGCCCTGTGGCCCACCTTGACTATTGATCTACGGCTGCGAGACCTGGTTGTTGAAGACCGACGACCGCGCAGCCGTCTAGTCTACGGCCACACACACACACATAGTGTCCTTACCACCCCTGGACTGCATCTGCGCAGTTTCGTACCGCTGCGGCGCGGTTTTGCAAAAACCGTTCTGCAGCGGCGCGGTTTTGCCCCACCCGCAGCCTGGATTGATAGTCATTGTGGGTGTGGGGGCCGCGGGCCAGGACTTTTGTTTGAACAAAGTTTTGACAGTACATTTCTGTCCGACTTTGGAACAGCTTGTGAGTGGTCACTGAAGACCTTCACAGTTGGTAGCGGCTGGGCAACGATCCCCGGGACATTACGACAACATGTCGTCGACGGACAAGCTGGTGATTCCGGCCTACAAACACGGCTCCGAGCGGGAGTTCAACGAGTGGTTCCGCAACCTGCGGACCGCGGCGAAGCAACACAAGTACCTCCTCGACATCATCGAGGTGGGCACCATCCGGCCGGGCGCGGAGCGCGAGGCCGAGGCGGTCGCGCTGCACGTGCGCTACAAGAACGTCGGCATGGCGGACGGCCTCATCCCGGCCAAGATCGACAAGTTCTTCGAGGACCTGTCGGTGACTCTGTCGCGCCAACTCTACGGTGCGCTGCAGAACGCCGTCAAGGACGACGACACGCTCGCCGAGATGTTGGCGGACGAGGACGCCGACCACTACGACGACATCAAGAAGGGCATCGCGGCGATCAAGTTGTTGAAGACCGACGACCGCGCAGCCGTCTAGTCTACGGCCACACACACACACATAGTGTCCTTACCACCTCTAGACTG